TTTTGTTTTTGTAGTACGGCATAAATGAGTAGTTTGACTATTAGTACTGAGGACTTTCTGATGACAACATTGAGGGGAAAGTACTCAATTTTTTCCCATGGCCTGAACGAAAATGAGGACTTTGATAAGCACTTTTGTGATTAGGGATAATGATAATATGAGTACTCATATGATACTCAGCTGTCTTGTAGGGTTATTTTGTAACTCCGTAGATTCAGTAATTTTAATAAGAATCCGTTAAAACATTGTTTAGAATATCTGGAACATTTATTAGATATCCGGATAACAAAATAGAACGAACCGGGTATCCGAATATACGGATAGTCCCAGCCCTAATTCATATGTTTGTACCAGGGTTGTTGCGAATATTCGCTTTCGCATTCGCAATAATCAATGCGGAGCTTTTGCGAATGCGAATGTTGTGCAAGTGCACCGATAAAATGTATATATGTCAAAAAAATGACAAATTGCAGCCAATATTTTTGCCTGTGTTCGTGGGAGTATTTGTGTAACAAAACTGGTCAAATGTCATATTTATCAACTTTGATAAAAATGTCTTTATACATATTATTTCTTAAGCTATATAACCGAGCTATCAATGGGCAGCCAAACAAGTTCCAGCTTCTACTTGTCCTTTGACGCGCGTCAAAGAGAACATAGTCTTTTTAACAATGTGTTTTTTTCTGTGCTTTAAACAGCTGCATTGCTTTCTTTCTTTATTATGATTTTTTTGGACCAATCTTAAAAAAACTAATAGACACAAATGAAGAAAGTGTGCACTGTAATTCTTAACCAAATTTTCGTGATTTGTTTTTGATGTTACATATATTTTTGTTTCAATAATTTCAAATGGGCCTCTTTGGGGAATTTATTATTAGCAAAAATTTTAAAAACAATAATTTTGTTTACTTGTCGGGCAATACTTTTTTCGTAGGGATATACATTGGATCCTTGGATAAAACTTCTGTGGTAAAACTGTCCCTTCTTTGCTATTTAAAGTCAAAGAGTAAGCTCCTTCAATAGGGATTTCCAGCAGAAATGATAAACGTCTGGCTATAAAGAGAATCGATGCTCAAATAATTAAAAAGCTATAGGTCTTACCTTTAATTAGAGAAGAATTATGTAACTTTCTGAGATTAAAATGCTTATAAAAAAACATGACTTTGAACTATCTGAGATTCAAACACTTATAAAAAAACGGGGTGCTTTTTTAAAAAAAATAACAATATTCTGATCCTATTCGGCAGGCAGCCACGGCTTTGAAATAAGAATTTTGTTCAGAATTTTCATTCCTGGAAAATAATAATTTATTTTTCATATCCACCTATTTAGCTCGCTATAAGCACACATTTTTCAGACCAGTCGCATATGAAAGTATTAAAAATTAATTACAGAAATCAAATCGAAAAACGTTGATGAAGTTACAGATACCTCAAATTCGAAAAAGCCAAAGTAATGAGAATGAAGAATTATTTTTAAAAGCTTTAGGAAACCTGTCACATCTGGTTTGGCCTCGCCATTATACTAGATTCTAATTGTTTCTTAAAAATACTTGACATCCGCATTCGCATACGCGACATCCCTAGTTTGTACTTGTACTTACATATGTATGTAAATACATATATGTAGTATAAGTGCTTGACACTTGTTGAGCAGATATGATTTGCAATTCATGAGGGCTCATTGAATATTCCGAAAAACGTGTGGCTAAGTGACTGCCAATGAAATGTACCAGATAAAATATATGCGTCGGAAGATGAATGCTTATTCAAATGACACACACTTCTGTATAATCGTCATGAAGGCTGAGGCAGGCAATATGCGTGGCAATAAAAAATACTAATTTTTGAGAAAAAATTTGCTTATCTAGGGTGGGTTGGCTAGAATGGTTTGTCACTCTGCGGCCACAGTCTAAAAAGGTGGTAGTATGGAGGAATGTTTGATCAAGCTTTTTATGCAGCCTTACTTTTGCACGGGTCGAACACTCGCAGTGCTCAGCTATCTCTTCAGGGTGGGACCTTGCAATTTGGCAGAACCGACAGACAGTCGTGATATTGTATTTTCGTTGCTAATTCCTTAAAGAGGCCTGGTTTTAAACGGGTTGTGAGTGCTCCTGATCCATCTGCTATTTCTATAATATCCTGCACAGTTCCACCTCTGATTAGGTTTCGATTGGAAAAATTTGCTAGTTCTGCAACGCATTGGACGTCTTAAGTGCTGGAGCGTACTTCTCTAAAAGTAATCTCGATCAGATATTAAGGCCAACTCTCAACTACTCCCTACAAGTTGTCACCCAGCACTGGGTATCTGCCCGAATTCAGCTAATGCGGCTGTGAATTTTGTGCAAGGTTTGAGTTTTCTTCAGATCTGTTTTTATCAGATGCGAGTCTTTTTAGGCCCGTTTTTCCAGTATCTAAAAGGTAGTGAATCGAACAAAACGGTCAAAGTCTCCATTGGATCTCATCGCACCCGTTGAGCCAACAGCAGCTGACCTCTTAATTCTTCCGAGTTTCACAACAACGTAATTCTTTGCAGTGGCTTGTCATTGGACCCGCACTTTATGCGAAAGTTTGGACCGGTTATACTGTGCGCATCCAGTGTAAAATATGCAGTATGTTATTCGCATTTATTGCTTAGCATTCTTTTGATTAATCTTTGAAATAATCTTGAATACTCTGTTTGCCGCACGAATATCTGAAATGGACGTTGGATTTTTATTTCAAAAGAACTGCGTTTACAGCTTGAGATCCTTCATGTACTTGAGTAAATGCAGATATGTTTCCGAATTCAAACCGCGACTGAAGTGCAATTATAATTGAGCAGTCCAAGTCTTCGCAAAACTGGTTCCCCAGAAATCTAAAGTTAATTTTTGTCGAGTGTGTACGAATACCGTACAGAGAGTTATTATTAAATCCTCCCTTATCTTAACAGTTGCCAAAGAAATTTGTGCCAGGGTCTTTGAACCTTGGTTCGTCAATAGCCTTGGCAGATTCCATGTTGCACGCTTCACTCTGCATATATCCAGGTTATTTAACCTGCTATTTGCAGCTTTTGTTCCTCTATTTACAATTTATAAGGGCAGGAAACTTAGTGGAGTTTCTATGCTTTTATTCAAGACTTGTCTTACAAACACTTTCAGTTTTTCACTTTCCGAAACAGCAGCCGGAAAAGACTGACGGTGCAATGCTTACGAAATTTGAGGGATTAAGATTGTCGTCGCCGGCACACGGGCCTGGTTCGATGCTTTACTGTCTACCAAAAAGATAAGTGTTATGGTAGGAAATACAGCAGTCTGGAAGCTTTCTCCAATGGAAGTTGCTGGAAGAAGAGCAAACGCAGAACCTGCTGCGATGTTCATTTCGGAATCAGCCATAAATAGGGGAATCTCTTATTCATTATCCATCTGTCGGGGATGTGAATTTCGAAATTGTGCCAAATGTTGATCTTCGGGATTTGACAGTCACAGCGTCTTTCAATGGCTTTGTCTGAAATGGAGGTATTACCCTTACTTGTCATTCGCAGCCTTTTAGATGCCTTAAGCCTGGGGGCGGCTGTTGTAGCGGACTGCTTTGAGGCGCGTACTTCTACTCCGTAGGACCCGGGTTCGATCACTGATCCGAGCAGCATCTATATCAGGAAAAGTGGGAAACCTCCGAGTGTGTGTGTTTCTGCCTTAAAAAAGCTTCTCTTTAAAACCACTTGCCGTTTGGAGTCGGCGTAAAACTGTAGGTCCCTCCCCTTTATGTGACAACATCAAGGCGCATGGCATAGATCGGAAGAGAAGCTCGGCCATACATTTAGCAAAAAGCAAAGCACTAAAATATTATTATTATAAGCCTGAAAACACTAGAGCGGAAGGAAAATCCGAATTTCTCACAATTTCAATAAAATAGTGTCCTTTATATGTACATACACTCAGTGATAAAAGTATTAAATTTTGTTTCCCATATTTTCTACTTTTCCTTTCCAGAAATCTTCCACGTGCCATTTGGATCGCCATGCCGTTGGTATGCTGCTAAGCGCTAAGCACTTTTGGCGGCGTCAATGGTGTGCTCTTCACTTCGGCGCGTCGATTTGCGACCGGTGCACAAGAAGGACATTTACCAAAATTCTTCATGCTATTCCACATTAAACAGCAAACGCCCATACCATCGCTGATATTTTCGGTAAGTTGTACAGGGGATTTGAAAAATTTGTATCTAATATTCATGAATTTTTTTTAACTTATCTTACCATTTCTAGTGCATCACATCACTGCTGACTTTACTCACTGCCGATGTTTACATTCTGATCAACTACTTTAGCGCCATGTTGTGGCTATCAGTGGTGGTCAGCATTGCTGGCATGCTTTGGTTGCGACACTCCAAGTAAATATTTCCATAGTAACTTTTTCTTATATAACTAAAATCGAGTATTTATCTTTTCTATTACCTCTCTTTACAGGCCCAACATTCCGCGGCCCATCAAAGTGCACCTGGCACTGCCTCTAATTTTCATAATATGCTGTCTGACTCTGGTGCTTTTGCCCAGCTTTACAAATCCCATGAATCTCATTGTCGGTATCGGCATAACGGTAGCTGGCATACCCTTTTATTACTTGTGTATAGTGCGAAGAAACAAACCAGCTTGCTATAGTAAACTCTCACGTGGTATGGTGACTTTATGTAGGGCTATGTTCAATACAGAGATCATTGAGAGTAGTGAAAAAATTGATAAGTGAAAGGCTCGAAAGCAAAATGTAATCGTAGTTAATGAAAGCTAGCGACAAATCCGATATTTTAAAAGGCAATGTATTAAACTTAAGCGCAGAATTTCAGAGGAATGGTATTGTATTTATATCATAGGAATATTTTTTTTTTATTCTAAGTTTACTTCATGCACTAAATACTTACTTACATAACTCATTAATACTTAACACAAACATATTTTGAATAGATATATGTACAGGAATGGGCAAAAATGGTCGAATGATGTTTACATTTAAATATTTATTCAAAATGTTTTTTAAAATTTTTTTTATTTTTTATTTTTCTATAAAAATATTGCGCATGCTTTAACCAAAACCATATAAATGAAAGCTTTAAACTTTATGCAAAATTTAAAAAAAAAACTTGGGAAATGTTAAACGAAATTTCATTGTGATTTTTGCTTAAAAATGTCTTGTTAAGAAATGCACTTGTTATATATACATACACACATATATAAATATAAAAAATCCGCAAAAGCAGCAAAAAAAGAGACTTGCACTTTATTAGATTAAAATTTGATGGGTTAGGCATACCCAAAAATGTCTAAAGATTCAGGTTAAAAAGTTTGAAATTTCGATGAAAATTTGTTGAATTTTCAAAATTTTGTGTAGAGTTTGAAACCTTGGTTTAAATAGTTTTGGTTAAAGTTTGGACAATATTTTTATAGAAAAATAACAAAAAAATTAATTTGAAAAACGTTGGGAATATATAAAAAAATTTCTGTACGTGGCCAATTTTTTAAGTCACTGTATGTACAGTAATGGGCAAAAAATGGTCGAATAATGTTTAGTTTTAAGCAGGGACCATAATCATCATTGATTTTTAATCATTATTTTAAAGTTTTGTCGATAAATTCTTATAATAAATTTCGATAAATAATAATGTCGATAAATTCTTATAATAAATTTCTGAGTTTTACTGTATTGCTCAGAAAAAAATCATATAATTACTTTGATCAAAAATAAAACCCATTTTTCAAGTGCTATTTTCTCGCTCTAAAATAATTATTACTTTGTGAATTATTTTTTGATAAAAATAAGCATTATTTTATGTCAAAAGTTTTATTTGTTTATCAAAAGTAATGATTATTGCTTAAGTGTGAATTTTTTTGATTGATAATTAGACTCACGTGAGCCTTATTTTATCTTTGAGCAATAAAAATTATTATTTTTTTTTTATTTATATTTTTTTTTGCAGATTGAATAACTCAAAATGCCACAATGCTTTTGTAAAAAGTGTTTTTTTTCACTCTTCAACATATGCACAAAAAATTACAACAAATTTATCAACATTATTTTTTACTAATTTACATATTTACATATGCATATGTTATGCCTATAAATTTCTTGTAATTTTTGAATAGCAAAAAATATTTACTGCTAAGCAGTTATTAGAAAAGCGGACCGGTATTTGGAATTGTTCGATCTGCCATAAAGCTCAAAAAATATTTATTTAATTTCATTTTATAATGCTCAAGAAATCAATTTTATTCTCAATCAAAAAAATAATACTTAAGAAATAATCATTATTTTTGACAAAAAAATTAACTAAAAATATAATATATTTTTTTTCTAATGAAAAAACAAAAAAAAAATCATTAAATAATGCTTACCTACTTTTGATCAAAACTTAACAATTCACAAAATAATTATTATTACGAAGCGAAAAAATAACACTGGAAAAATGAGCTTTATATTTGATCAAAAGAATATAACTCGATATATAATTTTAGTTTCTGTAATTGTAAGTATTAATTATAATTTTTATAGATATCGCTCAGAAATTTTTAAATCCTAACGGATTCATACAGGAAATAAAGAAACATACATATACTCGAAACTGTTTTACGATATTTAGGAGCGTTTGCTTTTTTTATTGAATATTTGAAAACAATCATTATTTTCGGTCCCTGCTCTTAAATATTCACAATGTTTATTAGAAAAAATTTTAGAAAATTTTTGGAAGTTTTCTAAATTTTGCATAAAGTTTGAAGCTTTAATTCATATGGTTGTGGTTACAACACTTTTGTATGTGAACAATATTTTTATAGAAAAATAAACAAATAAAATTTACTTGAAAAACATTGTGAATACTTAAAAATAAACATCATTCGACTATTTTTGACCGTTACTGAATGTAACCGCATAATTATTTAAATGTACCAAATTTAAAAATAATTGTTTAAATTGAACATTGAACTATATACAGTTGTGTTCATATAATTGGCAGCGCTGTACATGAAATCTGAACTCAAACGCTTTTTCGGCCTTTTTTTTTTTGTTTGGTTGCACTGTGCAGGCTGGATACAAAAAAGCTTAGAGAATAGTGAATGATCTATGACTCGTCTAGAAGAGAGTTTGACGATCATCGCTTCAATTCCACCAACAAAGAAAATGAAAACTTATTTTGTTATATTTCGATTACCAAAGCGCTAATTAGTTACTTAAGTGATTAAATGTAGCACAACAAGAGGAATTGCGACCTGGCAGTTCCCAGTGTGCACAAGATACCTTCGGCTTCCGTGATGAATCTTGAAAGGGCTCTGGAAAGCGAATTCTTTACTGCAAAGAGCTCACAAATTGGAGCTTTAAAATGAATTAATCTTTGTCTAGTAAAGGCCGGCCAACCACAAAGAATTTGCTTCATAGTTTCATCGTTCTCAAGGCAGAGTCGGTATTCCGAATTTGTGTTCATATGTACCCACATACTATTCGATCCATATAAAACTGTTTTCGGTTAGTTCCAGTTAAGTATATTAAATACCGGCTGCTGTGGTGTGGCGGTTAGCAGTGTGCGCTACCATTCCCAAGGGCCTCGGTTCAAGCCCGGTTCAACCCAATATAAAAAAAAATAAAAACACAAATATTTTTTCTAATAGCGGTCGCCCCTCGGCAGGCAATGGCAAACCTCTAAGTTTATTTCTGCCATAAAAATCAGCTTCTCATAAATATACAATAGCCGTTCGAAATCGGCGTAAAACAGAGGCTAAAGCCTAATATATTAATAAGTTCCTAGAGTATGAAATCCACATATGTATGTAGATATGAATCGAAAGAGCGTAGTGACCACACGCACTAGGTTACTTATTTCATTGTTAAAAAGATTGAGATAATGCCTAAGGATTTTTCTGCTTTTAAGTGAATTGCTAGTATGTAATTTTGTTTAAAGCGCTTGAAATAGGTCGAATATAACAGTTATCATGTACAGTTAACATCTATTTAAGTTTTATTTATGAACGCAACTCTATTTCTAGTATACGTTAGGTATATTTTAAGCCAAGATTTATTTTAAGCTATGTTAATATTTCTTTTTAGACAACGTTTTAGTTATAGAATTCAAATAAAAGTCGAGACTTCGTCGATCTTGAAGTTAGAATAATGCCGTAACTTGCTGTGTATAAAATAATATGTTCAGTTGAAAGTATGAAAATACCAACTACGAGTATTTAGAAGCTATGAACAAGATGATTGTGACATTTTAGGGAATAACTCTCTGATCAAATTATCGGGCCTTTTTCCTGTCGGCGTTTCCCGGTCTCTCTTCTTATTGCTGCAAATACATCTCACTTCCCTCTTCAGTTCCCTATAACGGTCTCGGCCCTGTAGGCGGCATATTTTTTCTCTGCAGATACTTGACACTACTCATCGTACCAGTTGTTCTTTCGGGCTCGCTGAAATCCGACTACTTCTTCGGCGGCGGTACTTAGGTAGGAAATGGTGGATCTGGTGGAATCATCTCCACACTTTCTTTTAGACTGTCCAATAGGGTGGTCCAAAACCAGTAAATTCGGAATTTTTATGCTTCCCCCCCTAGGATATTTCTATACCGAAAAAATACCCTCATTTTTTTATTTTGAAATCAAAAAATATTTACAGGTCGCCCAAAGCGCCCAAAGTTGTCCATGGGGTCTAGGGGTCTACTTTTTTTGATATAGAACAATCCTAGGGGGTGAGAGCATTAAAATTCCGACTTTGCTGTTTTTGGACCACCCTATTGGACAGTCTAAAAGAAAGTGTGGAGATGATTCCACTCCATCTTCCTCTTGGCAGCTGATACAAAAGCATCAGTTGAGATTCCTAGTGTCACCGCATGAATACCAACCGCACAAGGGGTGTCAGAACCCCCATCACTAGCCCTTGAGAGGTAACGTGTCTTAAAGTGCACTGTAAAAACATTTGCTGCAGCAGAGAAACGTCTTCTTTTCCAGTTTTATGTCACAAAAGGACCCGGTGTCCCTTATGGTCTGACTATGGCAACTTAATGTAACTTACGGCTCTCTCTGTTAAATGGGTGTTGCTTATAATTGAACAGCCGAAACTTAACGTAACTTAATGCCACGTCGAAATCTGTTTAATTTTGATTATCTAAGTTCAACGTTTCGTTAAGTTAAGTTAAGTTGCCATAATCAGGCTTTTCGTCTTATAGCAGTTTGTGCTACGACAATTCTGTCTGCAATATCCGCAGGCGCCGTGTTCAACATATTTATGTTAAACGTCACTGTAGGTGTGGCTCCTAATGCTCCGCTAATTCCTGTTTTACAAGTGTAGCCTTCTCTAGTGAGTTCCACCAAACAAAGGCTCCTTGAAACAATATACGCTTGAATCTGGTTTCCTAGAGCTAATGAATTAATTTGGGTGAGAGAACCCACTTTTTACCGATAGCTCCCCTACAGCAGTACAAGGCAACCGACAACTTTCCTACCCTTTCCTCAATTTTAGGCTTCCACGACAGCCGCCGTTGATCGCCCACCAAGTTACCTGGTTCAGGTAACCTTGAGCCAGATCAAAAAGGGTGTATAAAAATCGTCTCTTAACCAAAAGTTCCATATCATCTACATAGGCGATCAACCGATAGCCCACTTTTCAAGTTCTTCTAGAAGGTCATTTACAAGTGTAATCCAGAGCAGGGGAGAGAGAAAACCACCTTGTGGAGTGCTCCTATTGACTCTGCACTGAGTGCAGACGCTCCCCCACTTCGCCGCGACAGTTCTGTCACGAAGTAAGCTGTAGATAAACCTTATTAGGTTGGTTTCAAACCCCAGAATATGAATATACTTGACTATTGCCTATGGAGTGACATTTTTGCAGGAAGATCGGAGAAGTACAGGACCTGGGGCAGATTCTGTAACCAGTTAGCGACAATTTGCGAATCGCTATCGCGCTTTTTTACGCAAAAATTTTTATATCATGCATCAAAAAGTGCGATAGCGATCCGAAAATTTTCTCTAACTGGTTACAAAATCTGCCTCCTGAAGT